GTTTGTTACAGAATCAATATAAAAAAGTGGGGCCTTTTTATTGTTGATTTGATTTTTTTAATATTTTCTATTTTTCAAATTTTGCATGCTTTTGAAATTATATTAAAAATAAAATGAGCACGGATACTGTTACTTTACTATTTATTAATTGATAATTGATTTTCTTATTTAAACACAACGATTTTCCCTTACACATGATTTTTTTTTTTAATTCAAGCAAGAGAGAAAGAGAGTAATGGCACACAACGATTATACTGATCCAGTCTTAAAAAATTCCTAAGAGTTTCCGTTACACAATGTGCACTAAAAACAATCTTCAGTCAGCTCAGGTATAAAGAGAGTAATTAATCACTAAGTGATCAAAAGATATCCACATAAAATGCGTAAAAATATGATATACTCCCTCCAACTCTTTTTATAACGTCCTTTAATTTTGACTAAGTTATGTGGTTTAAGAAAAGAGTAAAAGTTAGTTAAAAGTAATAAATATGTAAAATTTGAACATTTTTATCAAGCATGTATGCCCTTATTTAATAAACAGCAAATAAGAGAGAGAAATATTAGTAATGAGATAAATGATAGAAGAAAATGTAGTATAAGAAAAAATTTAAGAGAAAAAATATAATATTAATTAGGAACAAAATTGGTAAAAAATTAAGCATAGTTGATGATTGCATGCAGGGATTTTTTTTCCCTTTGTTTATGCTGGTATATGATGTATGAAACTTCTTAGTCTTTGTTTTTGGTTCATGCCCAGTGAATTTTGAGATGAAAGCCACCCAGGCAACACATGCCTTAATTCTAAGCTAGTCTCATAAGTCATAACATCATTGGTCTGTGTCTTCTTGTTACAATTATCTTTCAGACGAATATCATGTCGTTTTGTATATGATCTTATATGGGAAACAAACGAGCATTGTGCAGAACTTTGCAAACCTGGTGCAAGCATTCGGCAAATACACGATCATTCGGTACCTTCATCATTGCACCTTGTTCTTAATCATTAGCCATTATTCTTAGAAACCATGTTTTTCATTATGTTGCTGTTATTTATTGCTAATTCATGCATGGATTGAAAAGAAAACTGTTTTATGATTTATTTTTCTGTGTGTGTTGATAATGTTCTCAGATATAAGGTATGTGCTAAAGTAAATTTACAAAACCATTAAAGTATTTAGGAATTCTATCATTATAGAATGGCACAGCGACTAACTGAAAGGAGAGTTGTAACAATTCTCAGTCATCAAGCTTTTTTCTCTCTAACTGTTTACACTTAAGGACCCAAAAAAAAAAACAGAGTAAAGGTTAATAACAGTTTCCGATATATTTTTTTTCCTTGTATTTTGAATTAATGTGCCAAAAGAAAAGATTTTTAATTTTTATGCCATATTGGTTGAGGCAATCAACCCTATGCATGATGACCAATATCTTATAAGTGTTTAACCCATCATACTATTTTGCATAATCAGCCACAGTCATATGTGTGTTCTGACAACTTTTTAGTATCTCTTTTGCTAGAACGGTATGTTTTTTACTGGCACTTTACTTTTGCTTCACTTGATCTTTCTGTTTATTCAACTAACTACTTCAGACTTGAAGCTTGTTTACCTTAATTACATTATTTGAAATGGTCTGGTTGCTTAGGTTGAAATGCTCCAGAAAGGACTCAAGGGGATTGGAATTTTGAGAGGTGTTCCAAGCAGTGCCTACCATACACTGAACCCCACTTCTATCGGTTTCTTTATGCATACCTTGAAAAATACAGCTTGGTTAATCTCTTTGTGTACATAGATTAGTAGAATTATTTGTTGGCTCTACAAATTTTTAGGCTAGTTTGAAAAGATAAATACAGACTGGACCTGTATGTTCATCTTTTATTGGTCTAGGTCACTACTTGGGAGTGGATATACATGATTGTTCAAGGATCAGCTATGACTATCCTCTCAAGGCAGGTGTTGTAAGTTTTCTTGCCTTAAGTTTCTCTAAACTTGAGATAAACTCAACCACTGGAACTTTATATAACGTGTCCATATTCATTCCTGCCTTAGTCCTATAGAGTTTCATTGGATGCGCTAAGAGCAACAGATATTTCCAGCTAATATGTTTAAAAGTATTTGATAGTCAATGTCTTCTAAAGCATGCTACATTTAACTGAAGGAAGTCTTAAAAAATTACACCCAGGGATATTTTTCTGGCCGAGAATGACAATTTTTGCCCTTTCCTTATATAGGAACATGGCGATCATGCAAGAGTTTTATTGTTTGCATGCTATAGCCGTGCTGATTGACATCGTTCATTCACATATTAGTTAACAATTTTTTCTTTTTCATTTATTTATTTTGCAGGTCATAACTATTGAACCAGGATTACACATTCCATTTCATTTTGATGGTGCAGAGAGGAACCTACTGAACTCAGAGAATTTGCCCAAACTTCAAATTAAATTGTCACGTATTGGTACAGTCCTGTACCTACTCCTCTAGTGAAATTATTTTTTGTATATCTGTCTACACAAGACATGCACATTCATGCATGGGAGGGTGGCATTGAAGCTTTAAGAGTTTCTCCCCTTTTGAAATTCTTTTGGTATTTGTGTCTTGTTAATTGGTGTTGTCCTGTGCTTACTCCTCTTATGACCAGATTTAAAAATTTATCCTGTCAATCTTCTTACTTATTTGGAATCTGGGCATGCACCAAGAGGCCAAAATCAATCAATTGGAGTTAACTATAGTTTCTTAGCATGTTCATTGTCTTGATTCTTTGGAGTTTTACTGATTTACTGTGTTCATAAATTCTTCCCCATGCAAGAAATGTGCTGCTTCATCTGGATCTTGGATTTGGCACCTGAGGATCGATAATCTTCTGTCTCGAGTTAATCTGTTTCAGCTGTACTCTTGGGCTACTATGAATATATGATACGTCTTTTGGTTCTTACTTCCACTATTCTGCTTGTTTTATCTTGTGGCCACTGGCTTGATAACATCATAGTTAGCTTTTAAGCCACATGATTTATAAGCATAACTCCTTTAAGAAATTTTATCCAATCTTGGCATCAAGTGTTCTTTTTTCGCTTGCCAATGTTTGAACAATGAATTGAGGACGAGGTTCTCATCATGGAAACAGGTTATGAGGTAATCTCTTTACATGAATTCTTTATTTTGAAAAATATCAGATTTATGACAGCTAGAGGAGATTTGACTCCAGTTATTTTGAGAGTTAGAACAATGTACTGGGATTGCTTTGTCTTTCACAATAAATGGAAGTCAAATCTTCTGACTAACTGTTAAATAAACACGATATATACTAAATTTAGCATTTATTATGTTTTTTTGTACTATCTGTATTGTAGGCTGCTACATATTCATAATGCCTACAGCCCAAGCAAGTGTTCTAAGTAATAATCTTGATATGCATTCTAAATTTCTCTTTTATGGCAAACGGTCTTGTCACCTAGTGACATAAAAGCTCCTCTATAAATGGTAGATCAAGGGTTTGATCCTGCTTGCAATCTCAGGCTATTAGTACCTACCTCTTTAATTTTGTTTTTAAAGAAATCTGTTTTATGAGAATAGAATGAGAGTAAAGCATGTTAATATCAAAATACTTTATGCATCTTATAAATCTCTAATGAATTATGGCTTATCAAGAGTATCATATACTCTTTGGTTTGCGTGCTATCTCTCATATGAACAGTAACTGATACTGAAGCTATACCACTCTGGTCCTTACCACATCAATTTCTAAGGAAATCAAGCCCATGGAATCCCTGCTAAATAACTGCCATGGAATGGGAATGGATAGCCACAGCACAATGGGAGCTCCACCACAGAGTTAAATAAGTATTGTACAAGGAACCAAGACATGAATCCTTGAAGAAAGGGAAACCCCAGGCACGTACTGACATTTGAAGCCCAAGGACAAACCATTCTGTAACCATCTATGCTTTTTTTTTTTTTTTTTAATTAAAAGGACAGGCACTAACAACTTGAGATTATAAGCAGAATTGAACCGATGACCTCTCAGTTACAATCTATAGAAAAGCATCAATGCTATTATACTACAAAGCGTTTGGCCTTAAATTAAGTTGAAGCCTACCTTTTTCTTTTGAGTGGAATGGTGTTTTCACTTTTGAAAGCATTGCATTGATTATGGCCCCCATACTCAGCAGGTCTACGACCTTAAGCACCCAAGAAAAAAAAAAACCAAAAAGAAAGTGGGAGGATGGTAAGTTCCATTAATTGTTACTTTCGGTGGTCGTTAATCCTATATATAAGTTATAACTTTTGAAATAGGATTAGATTTTTTATAAGTTGCATTTCGTACCTATCTGAAAATTAAATTTATCTCTTTTTTTTCATTTTTTCTTCCATGTTTGCATTAATTTCATTTTTACTATTGTCATAATCATATTCACATCATACTTTCATAATTCAACCACAAGTTAATATCAGATCTGATCAATTATTGAACAATTAGGAAGGGATGCACATGACTGCAAAATTAAAGAGCATTCGTTGATCAGATTATATCTAATAGAAAGGATTTATTCCTCATGACGTAACAAACCAAAGTTTAAAAGTGCTCACATTTTAAGGATTGATAGTGTTTCAAATAGACTTAGTAGAATAAGAAGATACATGTGCTTGACACCAAAAAAAAAAAAGAGCAAATAAAGAGCATCGTTGAGTTTTACAATAGCTATCATGGAATAAATGAAGCATTGCTGAATCTTTCAATTCATCAGTCTCATACTTACCAAAAACAAGTCATACGATTAGAAAATGCAGTAAATGTACCAGAATGACCAGCCACACCGACGGTCAATTAGACAAGTCTCTTGTGTTTCAATGGTGCAAATACCAAAAATTATCCAGATGTTCTGAATGGGATGAAGTTGGGTATTATCAGAAGCAATAGACTTGTTCTTTCCATGCGAAATCCAGCATTCACATATTGGCGCATCTAGGACTTCAGGTGTGATAAAGAAAAGCTATTAAGAAACCGATCACGATTTGATTAGTTCAGCTCGAGGCCTCCATAATCCCAGCCTGTACTTGTGTGCATATTTCAATATTAACTTCCTCTGCAAAGCAAAAACTATAGGTTACAAAGAGTTCGCATGTAGGCCCCACGCATTTTAATGTCTTATGGTCCAAAACGAATATCAATTAAAGGAGTCTTGAAACAAGATAGTGGAAACATCACAAAACCTTTATTTCTGCCAAAGATAAAATGGTCATATCCCTGCAGCCTGTTTAACAAGCCAGGGAGTTGTTGTTCTTCAGCTAGGTCCGAATAATCTAACAGAAAAAAGCCACCAAGAAAATCTAATCTCCCATAAAAGGGCTGAATAATAGCTCACATAGATTCCCTAATAATCAGTCCAGTACGTATATATTACAATGAAATCAAAATAACTGAGCATACTAACCCCTTGGAAATTGACACCACATCCTCATAGAAATTGACGACGCATAATAAACTCACTCAGATCATTGACAACACATTAGGCAACATATGACAGCATGGCAGGGAAGTTACTCTTCATAGCATAACCATCCCTATACCCTCCAAATTTTCTCTTCTTTCTACTGTATATAAGTCGTGGCATTCTATCAGCGACAGAGTCAATCAAGGGGTAGAATGCTATGTAGTACGTTAAGGAAGCACCTTTTACCCATATAACCACAAAAGACCTGCTATTACTAAGCGCTAGCCACAAACAATTGCTTGAAAACTCAAGTCAGTTCAACTTTCATACAAGGGAGCCATCAGGAACCTGCTTCCAATCAGCTGTAAGAAGATGACGTGCAACATCAGAACGCAATATAACACACGCACTAGTGAGATTTACAATTATTTTTAGCAGCGGAACAAAATAAGACGGTTGACATCTATCATCCACTTCAATAAAGGTGAATTCAGATTCCAGCTGCTTATTCTTCTAGAATCCAATAAAGTTCTGTACATGAAGCATAGCTATAGGACATAATCATACTGTCAAATTATACCAGCAAGATGCCAGGAAATAATGCTGCACTATTGGCATACTTTCTGGCGAAAATTGGGTAAGCATCCATTCTGAGCCAAAAAATAAAAAGGTAAAAACACGAAGCTAACAGATTCTAAGACAAATTCCAAATAAAAAGGACCTGAGCATAACAGATCTGGTTCATAAAGTGGCATTTGGTGGGAAAACAAAAATATTAAAATTTGAATAATGACACCAGCCAAAGAAAAGAAGGATTTAACGAACAGAAACAAAGTGTATGATAAATCCATAAATTTGTACAAAAAGATAGAGACAATAATGAAAGTTCAGCAACAAACGTGTTAAGAGAAATTACCAAGAATTTAAAAATTTAAGAAATATCTTGAAGACACAAGATATTGGTCATTGACATGACATATATGCATGAATATTAAGGCATATGCATAGGTGCTTTTACAAATGATAATATGTTCTTGTATCTGCATGGAGAGAAAGCAAGCAGAGATGTGATTGGGATTACATGTTTGCAAGGAAAGCCCAGCTTCTTGAGCTTGAGGGTACGACAGACGAGAAGCTTCTGGAAGTCACCAATTTCTGTTTCAAGCTTAGCAACATGGGATTCAACTCCATTCCCTATTCCATTTACAAACTCGGGGATTCCAACCTTTGCTGCAGTAGCAAGCGTCAAAACAACACTTTATCGTATCCATAGGTCTGCCACTTAATAACAAGAAGACTTATCCACATGTGAGGACACTTTAAGACTGAAGCATGGTCACTTATTTAATTCTAGAATAGCTAATCCTGGGTAAGGCTTAAAGCAGGTTATTTCTCCAAGTTATACAAACTCAACAACGAGAAAACAATGAAACCCTCATTCCCATTTATCCCAACGAATGGCAGCCTAAGAGGTGCAAGAGATTCAAGAGGGGGGGGGGAATCAGATTTTGAATAGACCAGCTACTACGAAGCTAAAATCTACACATTGACAGGGCCTCTTTTACAATTACCAAAATTGTCCGATATTTTTGCTTTGGGCATATCAAATAGTGAATGAAAATGAAGCATGGAGAAATGGTAGAGAAAGGAAGGAGGCATTACTGATGTACGGATCTGATTTGGAGAAGAATCTAGAGGAATAAGGTGCAGAAGGACCTAGTGTTGATGTCAAATTTGTCCCAAAGATTCGCGGCATCCACGCCATATTGCAGCCTACTGGTCTTAAACCTTTGCAAAGCCTAGCCAACTCCAACCTCAATCCCAGCCAATGCGGGAATGAAAGTGCGCAACTCCGTCTCTGACCTCAAGTGAAGTGAGTAGATGAATACAATTCCTGTCCAGCGTCTCTACAGCAGCGATCTTGTCCGGCTGCACAACATAACGGTTCAGAAAATATATGCTGGCATTGGTATTGGTGGAACTAGCTAGGAAAACCACTAATGAAGTAAAAGTTCATAAATTCTTGAGCAAAGTCTCACAGCTTCATATCATTTAGTGACGCCAAAAACTATCAAAGTCTGGTCTTGAGCTGCAAATAATTTAATATCAGGATCTACTATTGATCAGGTAACATTAACAACTACAGCATGTATGCAACATTGTGCTACATCATTGTTACCTGAACTTAATCAAAGAAATCACAGTTGAAATCGCGGACACCGAGTACTGATAAGAACCAATCCGCAAAGGAGAAAAAGAAGATCGTAACGAATTATAGAAGAATCAAAACATCACGCGTTCTGGCACAGGGTAGGAAATTTCTTTGGCCTAATGGATATTCCAAACGTAGTCAGTCGAACGATTAGTTCAATATGGCATCGAAACATGTATCGATCCTCCTCGATTGGGGGATGAATTCATTGACAGAAGCAATAATTCAAAGAGTCACAAAACCTCATAGCACGACAATTTTTAAAAATAGAATTGTAAAATGTTAATAGTGAAAATATGTAAGAAAAAAATACTCTTCCTAAATATTATAATATTTTAAATTTAAAAGGTATTAATAGTGAAATTTTATAGTGCATATTATAATATAAAAGGAATTAATTTAAATTTATTTTTATGAATTTTTTTAAATTGAAATCATTAAAATTTTTCATCCATTCTATCTCAGCTTTCGCTTACAGTGGAACTTACTCAGCGCTATTTAATATAAGCACTTATAAATTTAATTTGAGACAAAATTTCTCTTTCCTGTTTATTTTGTATTTCAAAAATTATAATTAAAAAGTTGGTTTTGAGGATTTTATAAGTCTTTTGTCTTCTTCCGCTTCTCTGATGATCACCACCTTTTCAAAGTGAATCTGAAATAGATATCTCCTTATTTAATTTTATTAAAAATCTATTTTGAGATTGTTTGGGTAGGAACAAGATTAAAGTTTTGAAAGTATTTTTCACAGTATACAAAATAAATATGTTGAGAAGTTTGTCTCAATTTATAAAAAAAAAATATTTTTCTGTGAGTATAAAACTAAATGTACTAGAGAAATTTTGTCCAATAAATATATTTGGGAATCCTAATCATCATTCCAACAAGCACTAAGCATGCATCCCCACTGCCAAAAACAGGCTTTTTGGGTTTTATTGAGCCAAGTAACCTTTTCGAGCAGAAGCTTTACCTCTAATTAAACTAAAACAACTCTCTTACTAGTTGTTTCAACATAAGTGACTCTCCTTTCTCCTTCTTTTCCTCTCATTATATGTATGTTTTTGGGGGTTGGGTGGGTTTAATTTAGTATGCACTTGAAACACATTTTAAAAAATAGAAGAGGAAATCAGATTAATTAATATAGCTTGCAAAATTAAGGCAGAGAACTAATACAAGGCAGCTAACAACTATGAAAAATGAGTTAACTAGACATAATTTTAAGATTCGAAAAATCAGACCAGATCGACAGATTCAAATTGAAACCTAGTAAACGGGGCTTTGGTTTAGCAGATGAATTGTTCTCCAAACAAACCGGTACAAACAGGGAAAACTCGATAAAAACCCGAGAGTAGACGTAAGGTGGATATCTCTATGAGGCTGGGAGCAATTACCAAGGGTCAATAATTAAACATCTATAGGTAGCATCCTCGTGCCAATTTCACAATAGGGGCAAATGGTGCCTTCAAAGTAAACGGCAATGGTGAACGTTATTATTTTTTGGGTGAAATGTGAATATTATTATTTTATTTCTATTAAAAGAATCAATTAATGATTCGAGACCCAATAATAGAAAAGAAGCAAAACAAGAGTCCCACTTGAGTGGATAGAGTCACACTCAAAACATCAACATGCAAAATAGAACAAAGAGTCTTCGGGAAATAGGTTGGATAATAAATGGGCAACCAAGAGGTAGCGATAATATCTATATATATATATATATATATATATATGAGTGGCTAGGAAATCAGCACTCCTGTTACTTCCTCCATAATAATTGCCACTTTTAGATAATTTTCTCGTTCTAAATATAAGACCCTTTTTATAGTATAATTTATATTATAAAATAATAATAAAAAAAGTGTTATATTTAGAACTGAAAGAGTACTCGATTATTTACTTATAGCAATTGACTGTTTTCCCATACTAGTTTTACCCTTTTATTAATTAGTCTTATTATAAAGAGCGAGTCCTTGACCAAATCACCATAACTTAATAAATGTTTTTACAATAAGGAGGTGTTTGGATGGAAACCAAATCATAGTTTTAAAAATATTTTTACGGTTTACAAAATAAATATATAAAAAAATTTATCTTATTTTACAAAAAAGTGCTTCTAAAAAATACTTTTAAGCATTCATAAACACCCGCTAAATGTTGAATCAAAGAGATGCAAAAACTTAAAAGAAAACAAGAATAAAACAAAGATAAAATTGCATATTTAGCCTTATAATTTTATATAAGATTTCAATTAATTCTTTAATTTTATAAAGTGTTTTGTTTTTCAATTTTTTAACCCTAATTGTTAATTTCATTAGCATAAAATATACAATATTGATATTCCAACTTCAAATCCAGACAAAGTATCCTGGAACCTGCATTTGGCTTGCCGATGAGTTCAATTTTTTGGCCTAAAATTTATTGTCTGGGTGCAGCAAAGAAGACGCCAATCAGTTCGGCGGCCTTCCTTCCTCCTTCACCACAACCAATGAAGAGATAATAAATGTGTAAGGTATATATTTGACTTTTCTAATATATCCTTATCAATGAAGAGAATAGGTAAAAGATATAATAAATGAATTAAAGAAGAAAAAAAATATATGAGGGTAAAGTTGAAAAAAAAACTCATTCAATATTTGGACAAAAGTGAATTTTATTTTATAAAAAAAAAATTTTTTAAAAAGTTTAACTTATATTTTATACCGAAGGGAATATCTAGCTATTATATTAAGAAGTTGAGTTACTACATTATTTTGCTTCCTTCGTCTCCACAAAAAGTCTATCCAATCAGAGAAATGACAAATATGATCCACTTTGAATGCTCTCAACAGTGATTGGGTTGAGAAGAGACTGATATCCCTTTAAGTAATTTTTTATGTTTGGGTTTTACTAGTAGAAAAAGAAATGCTAGAAGAGTAGCTCGAGTCAAATAGTACCTGGAATTTGAATTGCATAATTAGTTGTTCAGGATATTAGTTGAGCACATACACGGGTGACACGCACAACACACGCACTTTGGATGACTAGTTATGATGAAGTCTTTAGTGATTGCAAGCAGGATTGTACCTTTTTCAGAATCCAAATTACCTGAAATTACGGTATTAAAACTCAACTTGGGTTGGCCGGTTGGACCAGTGAATTAGTCTGATCTGGTCAAGAGTTTTGAATAGGTGGACGGGTTGATTTTTATACATATTTTTTCTTTGCTAAGCTTGAAACCCCACTCTTCAGAGTTAATGCCTTGTCTATTTAAATATTACTCATTTACAGAGTTATACATATTATCTATATTTTAATTGTACATGTTATTTTAATAATTGGGTTGATTCCAATTTAATTACGGTTACACCATCGACTCTCTTGAACTAATAAGTTTCCAGTACCTTGCCTAAAATTAATTAGAAACCTGATTTTTCATGCATCTTACGCAGGTACGAGAGCAGTAGCTTCTTTGACCAGTCAACAGACGCGAGCAACAACATTAATTGCGGGAATGAAACAAGAAACTCAACTGAACTTGCTTCAACTGTGCAACAAGTTCTGAGGAATCTGGAAATAGCCACACCAAGAATCCCAGGTTACTTTGCAGCCACCAAAACGACAGTACCTAACAGCAACGGCTCAAACATTTATGCCTTTGCTCAATGTGTTGAGACTCTCACACAAAGCGGTTGCGACAATTGCTTGAACATTGCCTTGAGAAATTTTCAGATTTGTCTCCCAAACTCAAATGCTAAGACTTTTGATTTCGGCTGCTTCATGAGATATTCCACCACTTCCTTCTTTGCTGACAATCAAACCACTAACATCAATCACTTCTTGAAACAAGGTGGATTATTACAGTAAACTTGAAATGGCTTCCATATATATTTTGCATTGGCTTTCGGTGAAAACTAAGTGGGTCAACATTTTTCTTGTGATTTGTAGGAGATTCAAGCAAGAAGAAGGCCGTTATTATTGGTGGAGTCGTTGGAGGAACATGTTTTATTTTGATTATACTAGCATTATTTGCTTTGTATATGCGATCAAAGTCATCGAAGATGGTTCCTAAAGGTAAGATAACCGAAAATGGTCTTTATTATTTAATTTGAAATTATTTAATGTGATTATCCTTGCATCAATTGCTTTGCATATGATTTGTTATTGGCTGCCGGAGATTTTTTTACTTTAATTTTATTTTCCTTGCAGGTGATATTTTGGGAGCAACTGAGTTAAAAGGCCCTGTTAACTATAGGTATAAAGATCTAAAGTCAGCGACAAAAAATTTCAGTGAAAAATATAAACTAGGAGAACAAGCCTTTGGTGATTTGTACAAGGTAGACCTCATAAAACTTTTCTTTTAATTATTACAGTTGATGTCATTTATCGGGAGACACTTGTTGGGCTTGTTGCATTGAAGTTGTTCTTTTTCTTTTTTTGGGGGGAACACACATAGGCGTGCTATTGTTTGTCACACTCTGCCAAGATTTCATTAGTTCTTCAATATTTTTGTCCTCTTATATATGAATCGGGCTCATAAAAAATAAAAAAAAAGCAAAGGTTGATCTTTCACTAAAAGGTTATAGTTCATTTCAAAATTAATTTATTGTTAAACATCTGCACATTCTGAATGAAGATAAATAAAACTTTCTATAAGCATGTTCCCTTTTTCTTTTTGGTGAACTATAAGCATGTTCTTTAGTCTTAAGTATAATGTCTTTGTTGAACAGGGTACTTTGAAAAATGGAAAGGTAGTTGCTATCAAGAAATTGGATTTAAGCCAATCCGAACAGATGGAGAAAGATTTTGAGAGTGAAGTGAAGTTGATAAGTAATATTCATCATCGAAATATTGTTCGACTTTTGGGATGCTGCAATAAAGGCCAAGAGAGACTTCTTGTTTACGAGTACATGAAAAACAACAATGTTGGCCAATTCTTATTTGGTACAGACAAAATCAATCTGTTAAATGAATATCTTATATTGTTTTGAGAATCAGCTTTAATTCTTCTATTCTTCCTTTATCCTTATTTCTTACACTGTGAAGTGATGAAAATAGGTGAGAATAAAGGCTCTCTGAGTTGGATGCAACGTTATGCGATAATTTTTGGCACTGCAAGAGGTTTGGCATATTTACATGAGGAATTCCATGTTTGTGTTATACATAGAGATATAAAAGCTAGCAACATCCTATTGGATGATGATTTTCAACCTAAAATTGCTGATTTTGGACTAGCAAGGCTTCTTCCAAGAGACCAATCTCATCTTAATACAAATTTTGTTGGAACAATGTAAGTGAATGCACATACAATTTATCCTATTTATTTACTTTTATTATTATTAGAAGAAATCATGCGTTGATGATAGAATGGAACATTGCTATCACACCTTTAGACACTTTTCATTATGCAATCAGTGATATGTTTTTTTTAGGGGATATGTGGCACCTGAGTATGCAATGCATGGACAATTATCAGAAAAGGTTGATACTTATAGCTATGGTGTTGTAATCCTAGAAATCATAAGTGGACAAAAAAGTAGTGCATTGAAGGTTGATGATGAAAGTGAATACCTCCTCCAAAGAGTAAGTAAATTCCTAGTAGTAAAAACATGACAATGGATTGCATTTCATTGAACAAATTTCAAGTGCTGGATTTAGTGTTCAGACAATTAACCCGTTTTTTCATTATATATATGATCACTTTGATCCCAGGCTTGGAAACTTTATGAGAGAGGAATGCATATAGCATTTGTGGACAAAACCTTAGACCCAAACGAGTATGATGCGGAAGAAGTAACGAAAATAATAGAAATTGGGCTACTTTGCACGCAAGCATCTCCTGCAGCAAGGCCAAGAATGTCTGAAGTTGTTAGAATGCTCAAAAGAAAGAGCTTAATGGAGCACAACCAGCCAACTATGCCTGTCTATGTTGATCCTACTTCTTGGCCCAAAAGAGACACTTCTGTCACTCACAGTTCGTCTTCATCAAATGCTGTTCTCTCTACTTCCATTTTATCAGGAAGGTGATTTGCTTCACACGCATGATCATACAATTAGCAACGGAAAAGTAAATAAAGTGTTCTTCTTCTTTTTCATTCCATTACTCAAGATTTGATTACAATGAAACGTCAACTTTGCAGTTAGCAATGTTTGTATGCAATGATGGCCACTTGGCCTATGGTGTAAGATAAATCAGTGCCTTTGAATTATGTGTACTCAAATTGGTAATCTTATCTACATTGAATATCTACATGTTAGCTTTTGCTTCAACACTTCTTGATATGATGCAGCTAGGCAGATAATATCTTCATTAACTACCGGCCGTTCCTGAAGATTATTCTTCCTAACACTCACTAGTCAATATGAATAGGTTGATATGAATATACTACCTACTTTCGGCTTGTAATATAAAAGCTAGTTGAATATTTAATTTAGTCCTAAGTATAAAACTCTAATATTTATCCATTACATCTCCAAGTAATTCCTATGGTGATTACAACATGTTATGAAGTTTCTATTAAGGGTAGTTCTAATATTGATGATTAACAAAGATATTTTAAGAAAAATAGTATCAATTTATTACAAATAAATAACTTAACTAATTTTTTTAATATTTGCAAATTACTTATTCTCCTGTTATATTAAGGATCGGATGCAGCGTATCATAGTTTAAAAGCATTATATCCCACATATATTGTACCATGTGGGTTTTTATATGTTACCCATATAATGGGTCTTGGAATAACATTACTATCATTATCTTTTCGTTATATCGTAGTTCATTAAAATCTCAAAATTCTCCAATAACTTTTCAAGATAGAAGCATTCTTATATGTCAATTTTTTTTTTTTTGTGTGTTGGAATTCTTATATGTTAATGTTGAGCTTCACAGCAGAAGCCTCAAATATCAGAGTTCATATCTTACCACGGGAAGATTAGAGAAAATTTATAATTGACTAACCCATTGTTCAACAATTAATTTATACATATCAAGTGAAATCATATACACAAGACATATAATATAATTAATTTATAAGTCTCCAATAACTTTTCGAGACTTCTCCTTCTTCTAGTTTTTTTTTTTTTTTTTTTTTTGGCTTTTGCTTTTTTGAGTTCAAAACTTAAAGCCACACCTTCATATGTAGAGAAGGTACCAGAGGTTAAAATCCAAGTGTCTTCCATGAACCTTTAACCAATTTCAGTCAAAATAGGCATAGTAGGTCTCATATCCTCTGATAAATCCTTTTGTTGGAGCAATGCAACTACTTCAGACATCTTTGGCCTCATTTCTACACATGCTTGTGTGCAAAGTAAACCAATCTCTATTATTTTCTTCACTTCTTCTGCATCATAATCATTAGGTTCTAAGGTCTCATCCACCAATTCTAAATGTATGCCTCTCTTGTACAAGTTCCAAGCCTGCCAAATGAGATAATAAAAGTGAAAAAGATCAAGAAATAGAGAAAAGATTGAAAAAAAAAAACCTCAGGCTAATTAATTTCTTTTGAACATGTATTACCTTGATATAATGAACTAATAAAAAAGGAAAGACTTTTCTTAGAAGAGTTAACATGAGTTGTAAAAAGAGTCCTGCTTATAATTTTCTCAAAAAAAAAAAATGCTGCTTTGAACAATCATGAGAACTTACTTTTTGAAGGAGGAATCCGCCTTCATCAGCACCATCGGCATTTAATTCATTGTTTCTTTTACCACTAACAATTTCTAGGATTATAACACCATAACTATATAATCAACTTTTTCTGATAGCTGTCCATGAATTGCATATTCAGGGGCTGTATATCCTCTGAAAATTACATAATACTTTTTAGCTAAAAGATCATAACAATGACTCATCAAAAAATACAAACGCAACTATTTGGAACAAAGAAAATGTGTATGAAAAAAGAACCAGCAAAATCTAAAATAGACATGAATGCAGACACAGTACACATTGCTACAAATTAAAGAAAAGAAAAGAAGAAGCAATAACTACTACAGTTATCTCCCTCTGGTTTACTAATCTTCTTCAACATTGTGGGTAACTGTAAGTTTTCCTCTAATATATTACATTTCTGAGGTTGTGGGTAAATGTATCATTGCGGTTGGGGAATCATGTATAAAAGAACTTAGGATATAAGAAATGGGTTCAAAAATTTGGTTCCTTTCCCTTGATTTTATAATTCAATAACGAATTAATATAATAATATATATTATCATTTCCTTGAAGAGTCCAGAACTTCAACAGAACTTAAGAAAATCACATAAATGAAGTTATTTCAACTTACAATGTTCCTGCAAATCTTGTGTTAAGATGAGTCTTGTCCTCAGGTAAGAGTCTTGCTAGGCCAAAATCAGCAATTTTAGGTTGTAAATCATTATCCAAGAGGATGTTGTTAGTCTTTATGTCTCTATGTATAATACGAACATGAAACTCCTCGTGTAAATAAACCAAACCTCTTGCTGTTCCTAAAATTATATTATATCGTCGCTTCCAATCAAGAGAACCTTTATTTTTTCCTAGCAGAGAAAGAAGTAAAAGGTGAAACATCAGAACGATCTATTCACAAAATGTTTCAATAGGAAATTTACACACACAACGTATTGATTAAGTTCTTGAATAAAGTCATGGCACATGAATCCATTTTTGTTAATAGACGAGTCAAAGATGATTTGTTGCGTTGTTAATTTGAAAATATCCTATATGCCATGATATTATTAAGAAATATAATAGCAATTGCATGAGCAACCATACAAGCTTTGTTGGTTAATAGAAGATACCAAATAAGAATCTGTCAAGACTGGTCTTTTCCATGTATTCATAAACCAGAATTCTCTGATTGCCTTTACTGCAACATCCAAGAAGCCGGACAAGATTCCGATGATGAACGTTACGTATAAGTTTCACTTCACTCTCAAATTCTTCTTCTATCCTCTTGGATTGTCGTAAAGTTAATTTCTTCACCGCAACTATTTTTCCATTCTTCAAGGTACCCTATTCATGATGATTAAGAGGTGTCAAATTAGAGGTTCTATACCTTTGTCCTTTATTTAAAAAAAAGGTAATCTTTTACAACACTAGGTAAAACTCAATTAGAAGAGACATGCTTGCACGCTTTTGGAACATGATCTATATCAAAATATTGATGAAAATGAAAATGTATAGTTACCTTATATACTGCACCAAATCCGCCTTCTCCAAGTTTATTTTCAATGCTGAAATTTTTTGTTGCAGACTTCAAATCCCCGTAATTGTAATTAACCGCGGCTTTCAACATGCTAATTCCAGTGATATCTCCTGTTAAACACATTAGTCAATTCAACTTCTCATCATTATTTTTTGATTAAAAAAAAGCCAGAGATTTCCCCTTTCATAAAGATGAAATCCCGTGACTTTTTATGCTGAGAAAAATCAAATTGGAGACCTTGTTTACCTCTGGGAACTCTCTTTTGGCTTTTTCGTGATCTAATCCAGGTAAATAATAAAATAAGGAAGATAAATAAAAGCACTAAACATCCAATAACAATGCCAATGAAGGCCCTCTTATTGCTTGAACCTGCAGGGCAGGAAACTTTTCTAATCAAGCTCTAACGTACAACGATGCATTTGAAGTTTATGCAAATAACTCCCTATAATCATATATATAAATATATGCATATATATTCATATGCTAGCCTGGGACTTAATTAAAATTTCATATGTAAAAGCAAATATGTATATATACAATAATTATGCATTTGAAGATTATAACTTTACCTTGTTTCAAGAAGGGGTTAATATCAATTGTTTGATTAAGAGCAAAGAAGGCAGTGGTGGAATATCTCACGAAACAGCCAATATCGTAACTCTTAGCATCTGTGTTGGTGAGGCAATTCTGAAAGTGGCTTAAAGCAATGTTAATACAAGTCTGGCACCCCTTTTGTGGGACAGTGTCAACACATTGAGCCAAGCCATAAATATTCAGATCATTACTGTTAGGGACAGGCGTCTTAGTGGCCACATAGGAACCAGGGATTCTTGGGGTTGCTATGCCTAGATTCCTTAGCACTTGTTGCACAGTTGAAGAAAGAGCCGGAGAATCTTTTATTGTCTGATTCCCACATACTATGTTGTTCCAACTATCGCTGGCCGAATCGAAGCTTTGACTGCTCTCATACCTTCATTTTAAACACACATCAAAGTAACAAATAAGTAAGTCTCTAAAAGATGTAAATTAGTTTGACCATCTCATTTCTACTCCCTCAGATCCTATTTAACTTGTGGTTTTGGGATAGGGTGGGTGCTTTTTATAATTTATACGTTTGTCTAAAATATAATCATTTTTTAAATTAGACACTTAAAAAAACAGTAAATAAGCAACGGAGTAAAATTCCCTCGCCAATTTTCTTTTTCTTTTTAAGTGTCAAATAATTATTACCAGTTTTTCATTAAAAGTAAATGTAAAAAGTGGTTTCTTGAAATTTACTTGCACCCTACGGCTTTTAAAGAACTTTTTTTTTTTTGGGCAAGAAACAGGGCAAAACACCCTGTAAACCTATGTTCATTAACAAAACAAAACGTGGGCAAAAAACACCCACTAAGTCTCACTAGTGGTGCCTCAAACCTGTACAATTCATTATCACAGGTTAGACTACGATTAGCTAAAAACATAAGCTACAAAATTGCCTTCCCTATAAGTACGGACAAAAATAATCTGAAAGTTCATGTTATATTCTGAGAAGTGCCAAGGCTTCATGCCTCCTGAAGTTTATTATAAATTGAAATGGATTTGTTTCTTTGAGAAGAACAATATAAATAATTTTAAAAAAATATTCATGTATTGTAGAGAAATTTTATACAAAAAAATATTTGACTTAGATTTCTACGTTTAATGATCATACAACGTAAGTTTAGTCACAAAAGAAATATTACTTCATCATTAAAATTATAACACTCCCTTCGGTCTCTTTAATATAAAAAATACTTAATTAATTTGAGTTGGTTAAAAAGGTCTAATGGATTAGTTAATTATAACAAATGTGAGGTAATTTTCCCTAAAATATTTTTACAGCATTAAATTATATATCAATCTATAAGTTCTGTAAATTAGTTTAGCAAAAAATAATAAATATAAAAATAAATTAGATTAAATTTTATATTTATAATCAAATTCAACCTTTATTTATTTATTTAGCTTTTGGAACTGGAGGTAGTATTTGAAATTATTATTATTTTCATTTTATATCATTGTATATATTGCAATTACAGCATCATATATGCATCACAAAGAAATTACTTAGTTTCTTGTTTTCCCCTTTGTCTCTACTCTCTACTCTCTGCTGCCTAACTTTTAACGCAAGCAGCGCAACCATAGTAATGTCACAACTCACATATTTATTCCCACCCCCCCCCCCCAAAAAAAACAGAGAGAGAGAGAGAGAAAAAGTCCAACTCGAGGTTGGGGAACTAGCTAGTTGTACCTGAGGAAGCAGCCGTCGCAGACAAGACGGGCAGCGTATGCCCTAGCGGAGCAGTTGTGGATGTTTACGGCGGCGACGTCAAAGCAAGCGAGGCAATCGGCGACGGAGAGGTAGTTTCTGCACTGAAAAAGGCCATAAACGGGGATGTTAGCTTCCACTGATTGAGCTCTGGCGAAGTGTTTGTTTTGGTTTTGGATCTGAGCTCTCAGATCTCCAAACGTTTTGTTAAGGATCTCCTTCATGATGGACCCATCGTTGTCGCCGTCTTGGGGGTCACACCAAAGTCGCACTAGATTCGTCTGAGGGTCCGAAACGACGCCGTCAAGAGTCCCCCATGACCAGATTATGAAGCTCAATAAGAAGAACAGAGGCTTTTGTTGCAGTAGTTGAGGCTGCATGCTGTTTTTTCTCACCTTGCGGAAGCGATGAAGAATGAAAGATGAATGCATTGGCGGAACTAGGATGAGATCAGAAGATGAGGGGCCCAAAATATTTTGTAAAACAATGAAAATATAATCTTATATATATAATTATAATTATAATTTTGAATTTTTAGGTATGGTATTTATCACCAATAATTTTTTAAGGCAATTTTGTAATATATAGGAGAGCAAGTTGGTCAATATATATCAATGAGAATATATACTTATATACTAACCATATAAAAATTTTCAACAAAATATTAGAAAGAATACAGGAAAGTTTTTAGTTTTCAAATGCTTGGGAAGTATTGGATTGTAGGCTAACAATTTTGTACCGCGTTTATGAACAGTATGACTTTCTATAGAATTTCCTATATATATATATTAATGATATTATCTGGGGAAAATAATGCTATAGATACATATATAAATAATACTAATAATAGTAAAGGTTTTGCGATATATGATTTTTATTAAAAATTTATACAATATATATTTCTATATAATGTAGAATAAAACTCTACATATTCACAATCCTTATACATGTTTGCCTAATTCCAAGTAATAAGTAATTCCTTATACTAAACAATTTTTTAGTATATTTTTTCAATCCTAATCATAATTATTATCTCTCATTTTCAATGATTCATACTAAATAGAACATAAATGTAGGTATCTTTCTCAGTAGAGATTCAAATCTTGATTCGCTATGTCATGATAAATTAGCTCCTCATGATACTAGTTATAATAATAAGAGACAAGTTCGCATAGCTAAGGGAGAAAAAATATGAAGTGTCCAGAAGCATATAACTAATAGGTTGTAGCTTGCAGGAATGAGATACAACTACCTAATTGCCTACGGCAACAACTTGACGGCGACAAAAATTCGCTGCTAAAAATTTTCAGTGACGGTTTTTTAATTTTTAGCAGTGACTTTTGTTACTATTGAAAGTCAAATTTTTTTTGTAGCCCAATATCAAATAATGCCATCATTTTTCCAATTACTGACATGGAAGACTATTTATTAGCACTTCATATTTGAACTATGACACGAAAGACCGCACGCCTAATAATTATTCTTGCGGACTTATTGTAAGAAATGTCCAAGTCTACTTCCAACTAGTCTTCCAAAGATAATTCTGAAGACGACCGGACTGAAAATGGGATGGACCTAAATTTTTTTTCCTTTCAAAATCTCATCTTGGTTCCAAAGATAACTAAGAAAATGAGATTGAAAAACAAGGGGAGACGCATAACTGAGGCATCTTGGAACAATGATAATGACGTATGTTTTGTCATTTTTCTCTAGCATGGCCACAGATAATAAGGACATTTCTTGCTGGGGCGACGCATGATGAAGGCATCTTAGAAATTTCCATGAATGGTATGACCTGCCAGAGATTGAAAAATGACACCAGTTATGAAAATTCACACACATGAAAAGGACTCCTAATTATGACTTATTCGCTTCCTACAGTTATCCATCGAATCTCACATGGCTACAAAGATATTGGCTTTACATGCTAATCGCATATCTCTTTACTCTCTTCAGATGTTAATTAGGTTTGGATTAGTTTTTTAAAAATAATTTTATGATATACAAGATAATTATATAAAAAAAATTTTATTGGCTTGTACTTTTTTTAATTGCTATTGAAGGATGCCAAAACACCCCCTTAGAACAATCCTCCCTCTACCCTATATTATTATTTTTCTTTTGAGAATGAACATGTTCTTAACCTATTTAAGTATTGTTTTTTTTTTTGCCTCACTAATTATTGATTAGGGCCTATTTGGATTAGCGGTGAATAACTATGATTTTAGATAATCGTGAATTTTATAAGTAACACTGGCTAATCGTGATTTCTGTTTGGATTTTTTTTTATAAATGATTTTAAGAATTGTGATTGTGTTTGCTTTTTATTTATTAAAATTACTTATAGATGTATAATTACTAAAAAGGACATGAAGTTCATAAAGTTGTTTGCATTTTCATAATTATTATATTTAATGATAAATTTTATTAAATATAAGTTAATAAATGACATGAATATTTAAATATTATTTCTATTTTCTTGATTTAACGATGCTCCTCGAATCAGAATCAGAATCAGATTAGAATATTATCTAAATATTTGTATCGCATTGTTTCAATCATATGTATTCATCCGTTCAAGTTTTATCTGATTTTTTTTAAAAATGTCTTTTAGATAAAATTAAAAGAAAAATAGTTTCATATCATATGCTTTTTAAAAAAAACAAAAAATTAAAATAATTACTATTCGAATGATTATTAGTATGGCTGTTTTCGGAAAGGATGTGTGTCAGGAGTGGATGGAATAGAGAGGCACACTGAATTAGCAAAGGGTATATTGGAGAAAATTTAATTGCTGAAGATTGATTGGAATTTTTCAAACGCATAAGCTATTTTTTGTTGTTTATCCTAAAAGTGCGGTAGGAGGTTAAAATCACGATTTGTTGGGATTTTATAAAAATTACCCAAACAACTCAAGCGTGCTTCATAATCACTTATTTGGATTTAAACAAGCTTATTTGAGATCCTACTACTTAACCAAATAGGCACTTAGTCTCTCTACTGCTCAAATCACATCTTATTAGTCTCTCCGTAATAAGGGTTCTTTTTAAAAAACATATTCATTACTTTTAATTAATTTCAACTAATTTTTTATATTTATAAATTGATTATTTGTATTTTATTATAAAAAGAACTAGATTTAATATGTTATATAATTCATACACTAATTATTGTTCTCTTAAAAAGGAAAAAAGGAGAATTCACATGATGATCCTTTGGTTATTGCCTAAATTTTCCCGTTTTTCAAAAGGCTAGGGTACAAAACTTACCGAGAAAAGTGACGAAGACTTTTGTGGGATAGACTGGCTTATTAACTATGCTTTTATCTCTTGATACAAAATCAGGGCTATTTATGTGGACCATAAAATATGCCCAATTCTCATTATTTGGATTAATTTTTAAAAGAAAAGGAAGACCCAAAAAAAAGTTAGGGGATGCAAATTAAAAGGGTGGGAGATCGAAGAAATTTATGCATCCCTAATAAGCCTAGATATATATAGGATTTAGATTAGATTCCGCATGGTTCATGCAACTTTTTAATATTAATTTATTGAAAAGTGTTATGAATATAATGATATCTTTGTGGATGTTCATATATCTCCCTTTATCTCCTATAATCTCTAATATCTCTCATTATCTCTATATCCCACAATTATCTCATATTATCATGTAATCTGTAGATTCTATCAAAGATGTAAAGTTGTGCTTATAAATAGAGGCCATGTATAATGTATTGTGTACTCTTGAATGGAATGAGAAAGACTCTCTCTTATCAATCCTCTCTTTCTTTGTATGATTCTTCTCTATTTCTTCTTTATTTATAACACGTTATCAGCACGAAGCTCTAACCAAGGTGCGTATGATATACCTTTCTATTCCAGCATAATTTTAAAGCTTCATCTATATTATTTTTCTGGAGTATCTCTTGCTTTGTTCAAATAACAATATCTCGAGCATCACATATATGGTGTTTCAGAGTATCCGTATTCCTATTCAATTTATCTAGGATAATCTAAGCCATTATATGGAATTAAAAAAAAAAATCTACCGTTGTTTTAAACATCGGGTTCCATGGCTATGATTGGAGATTTCCCCCCCTTTATTCTTTATTGACCTGATGTCACTATTTCGATGGAACTCAAAGTTCCAATGGATACTAGCAGTATCTTAAAAGAGTTACCATCTAAAGTTAAATGGCCAAAAGCCATATAGTTCTAAGTTCTCATCTCATTGAGATTAAATGGCTAGAAGCCATATAACTCTGATTTTACATTCTTTTCAAATTAAATGGCTAAAAGCCATATAATTTTGATTTTCTATATTATAGCCACAAGCTATACAACTTTGAGTTTTTATCTTATGGCTAGAAGCCATATATATATATATATATATATGGTTAATTCTCTTCTTTTTTTTTTAATGACTTGAAGTCATATATATTTGATATTTTATCTTATTAAATAACTAGAAGTATTTACGTATAAATTTTCTATCTTATGGCTAGAAGCCATATATATGTTATTACTGTTATCTTATTAAATGGCTAAAAGCCATGTAATTTGAATTTTCTATTTTATGGCCAGAAGCCATATATATATATAATTTTGTTTTATCTTATTAAATGGCTAGTTGCCATATAAATTTGATTTTCTATCTTACGGCCAGAAGCCATAGATATTTGAATTTTTTTTATCTCATTAAAAGGCTAGAAGCGATATAATTTGTATTTTCTATTTTATGGCCAGAAGCCATATATATATTTAATTTTTTTAATTTATATATATCATGTTGAATTTTCTATTTTATAGCCAGAAGCCATTTATATATATTTAAATTTTCTTTTATCTTATTAAATGGTTCGCATTTATATAATTTTGATTTTCTATCTTATGACTAGAAGTCATAAATATTTAATTTTGTTATTTTATTAATTGGCCTGAAGTCATATAACATCAAAGTTTTATCTTATGGTCAGAAACCATATATCTTTAATTTTTTTTATTTTGAAACTAAATAGCTAGATGCCATCTATCTTTATTTTCATTATTAAATGGCATGAAGCCATATAGTTTTGATTATGAGAAAGATCATTATATGGTTTGTTTATAAAAGAAAAATTATGATAATTAGAATTATAAATAATGTAACTCAGAAAACTAATGACTATATAGTGAAGGATGTATTGGTAAAAGAGTTTATTTGTTCTTTTTATTTCATGTTACATTTAATTAATTTGAAATTTAAGTTTTATTTTTATCTTATTCTCATATATTTTTGACATTCAATTTGACATTTATTAATATTATAATTTTCTTATTAGTAAATGGCCAGCAGCCATTACACTTAATTATGTTATTGAATGACATGAAAATAATAACTTATGATGTTTTTAAAGCCCTGAAGGCTCATGGTTTAAATATGAAGTGACACA